GTTCCAGGAAGAAGATAACCAGTAACTGGAAAATGGTGGATTTTCAATTATTGCTAGAGATGAAAACTAAACTGGTAAGGAATACTGCCACATTTTTCATCCCTCTAGCATGTGAAAGTTTGCACCCTCTAAGGTGCACACCCTTCAGGGATTCTGACAAAATTTGATTTTTACTTTGAAAAACCTCTCTCCTTTATGATAGGCAAAAGAATTAGAAATATGTAGAGGGTAGGGAAGAGAAAACACACTACCAGGGAAAGTTTACATCCCTTTTTGCATATGGCCTTTGAAAAATCGCAGTTCCCATATCTTCAGGAGAGGCTGGTTTGAGATAACTTCCCCAGCATTGTATATGCAGCAAGTCTTTTCCTGAAAATTGCTGCTGTTGTAGGCAATAAAAACTCTAGACGCCTACATGAAGATGTGCAATCCTGCTTCTATTGCTCTGACTCAGATGCAGATGGACAACTCACCGGGTCTAAAAAGGTACACAAAGAATTAAAGCAGAAAAAGAATTACAACAGTGAGAGAAAATAGTGGCACCTGAAAGCCAGCAGGTACAGCTAGATCAAAAACTTGGAAAGAATGGGAGCCTGAGGAGGACACTGAGACCTGAGGAAAGTGGGGGAAAAGAGAGGGCTGCCTCAGCAAAGCAGTAGATGGTCAATTACTCAGTGAATTCGGATGCATATGCAAAGATGGCTGCACTGAGTCTGGAGTAAAGCATTCTGGTACTCAACTCTGCAGCTTCAACTTTCCAACTTTCCTTGCTTCCTTGTTCAGGAGCTCCAGATGTGCAGATGGAAAAAACATTCTTATTTATTATTTAGGCAGGAGAAATGTAATGCCTTGTGGTTCTGCTGTATGAAACATCTCAGCATCTCCAAAGCTACTGGGAGGCAACGAGTACAATTACAATAGGGAAAAAGAAACTACTTCTGTTCCGAAGAAAGCTCAGTGTTTGGTGAAGGACTGTTATAGATGAACTCCTGAGAGAGGCTGAAAAAGAGTAACGCATAGTAAGGTCAGCTTCACCTCAGTGTTTGTATGTTTGTCTAAGCAGACCCCATCACAGCCCACAAAGTGGGAAAGAAAATCAGAAGATTGCAAAGATGCACTCCAGCATCTTCCACTTGGCAAGGCACAGCCTGAACTTTTAGAAGTGGCGAGGAAGAAAGGCTGCTGGGTTTTGTGTTGAGTCAGCATTGTTCCTTTGGCAATCTCTGCTCCCAGGCAGGAAGTCACACTCACAGTGTGCAGATTCACCACCTTTTCTCTGAAGTCTGAATTCTTCTGAAGAAAAGGGGAAATGAAAATTAAGCACAAGGGTATCAAAAAACGTAGCAATGTGCAAAAAGGACAAACCTTTACACGCTATTGAATATTGCCATCAAGTCATTCCTCAGCTGCCCACAGAAATGCATGGGCGAGTCCATCCAAGTTCAACCAGATGCTTCCCTACAGAAGTTAAATAATTCATTTCCAAACAAAAATGGTATTAAAATCTGAAAGGAGTTTTGTGATCATTTAGCCTGCTATAACTTGATAAATATTTCAACCCATAATCCCCACATATAGCACAATCGCAGTTTCCAATTGAAAACATTTTTTAAACAAACAAACAAAAAAAGACATGCTGTAAACCTCGATAGAAATATTCTAGCCTAAAAAAAACCCTCAGAGTGAACAACCTTCCCATTTCTCTAGACAGGCTCAAAACATACTGAAAGAGCACCATAAGGCATTTTCACGCTATATTTTCATGCTACATAATCCCTTTTTTCTTTCATTTATCTAAACTGCCAAGATCAAACATAAGAAAACTTGACAGAATCAGAGGATTAGGATATGAATTATTAGTGATCAGTTAAAAATTTCCCTTGCTTTTCTATCCATCACTTACTTATGTTTCATCTTGTTTGTCGAGAAATTATTTTCCTTGTTTTTACAGTGAGAATATTTCAGAAAAGCAAGATCCCAATTCCTCTGTGAATGTATATTCATGCAACATACAGCCTGCAACCTCCCCTGAGGAGTGACATCTACTCAGGAAAACAAAATAAGAGATCACAAGAGCAACAGGGCACTTCTAAGGCAACTGACTGATCCCAGCAGCAGCCTGTAGTAGAGAATGGCTGAAAGAATTGGTGACGGATCAGAATACATTAAGCAACAACATATATCGCATCCATATTATTATGAGTCATTTGCAAGAAGTCACACTGCTTTTTTTTCAGTCAAATAGAGGAACACAGATAGTTTCCCAGCCCTTCGAAACTTTTTTTATGTAGTGAATTACTTATCAGGAACATCGCAGTGTAGCAGCAGGGAAAGAACATAATGCCAGATCACCAAATGATGTTTGGTAAAACCATTACATGACAACTCAGTCCAGGGAAGATGGAAATACCAGGAAGGTGGGGAAAAAAAAAAAAAAAAAAAAAAAAAAAAAACCCCCAGTTTGGACACTAGTCTCTTAATTTTTCTTAAAGTTGAATGATCAGTTTTGTCACAAGCATGAACAAAGGAATGATGATGTTAAAAACCTGGGACCGGACTCTGTATTCAGACAGTCTAATAAATGAGTTGCCATCACTGAAAGGTACTAGCTGAGAAAAGAAAAAAAAAAAAACAAACCCCGCACAAAAAACAAACCACCAAACCCAAACAAAAAAAACCCACCAAAACAAAAAATCAGGAAATCCCATTTTTTGTAATTACAAGTCCCCAGGTAAAAGCCTTCCATTTAATCCTATATTAATTAGACATTGTTCAAAGTGTTCAAGGTTGTTTGTTTCTCTACATTCCATTCAAAAATTCCTATTAGAGTTTGTGTATAAAGTATCAGTGCTCATCTGCAGCTTACTACATGGAACTGTAATGATTTCCTGTGCTGTAAATGCCACTGCTTCCATGTTTGCTCTTTTTAATGAGAAATTTGCTTCATTGTAATGCAATAGGAGGGACAGGAAACCATGCAGCTTAAATTTCCTCCTCTTCTGAAATGAGCAGGCCAAATAGATCCATCTTCAGAGTAGAGCTTCTGATTTGGAACCTCCTCTAGTTTTTCTGTACCCATTTGGACAGGAGAGCGGAACAGACACAGCATTTCACAGAAGCATCTACACCTACTGCCAGCTATTAACTAGCATGGCATTTTTAATTCTCTTCAACTCAAAGACAATGCTGGATTTCCGGCAGTATAAATGGGTAAACAAGTTCAGGACGACCCAGACTCCAGTAGCTGGATTCTCTCCCTGACACTCTGTAGCTGTAGAGATGTACCTGGTAAGTAAGGCAAAGCACCAGAAATGAGACATCCCCTCAATCTTTAATTTCTTTCCAAACATATATTTGCATACATATATATATGTGATGAAATGTTATCTGGAAGAATCACTTGGTGTGCAGACACTGCCTTAAGATTGTGCAGGGCCCCAGACCAGGACCGAACTTCTTCTGGGTAGAGACTGCACCTATTTGTTGCTTGCACAACAGCCAGTGCAGTGAGGCTGGGATTCCAATCAGTCCGTCAGGACGTTTCTGGCACATAAGCCACATCAGATGGCATGAAGAACCATTAGAAGTACTATGCCTTGAAAAGACATGCTCAAACAACTGTGCATTAAAAATGGAAACAGCAATAGGAACGGAGGCAAGGATTATTTCCTGGGAAAAACAGAGCAGAGACAGAGGAGAAAATGAGTTCCAGGACAAATCTCCCCATCTTACCTGCAAGTGTATGTAATTCAAGAGTTCTACTAAATCACTTAGCTGACATTTTTGGCTTGGTTTTAAGCAGAAAATCCCTGGACAGATTCAGGAAACCATGGTCAATATATTACTTGATCACAACTTTGGATGGAATGTCTCCACGGTTGTATCACCTCCTTTTTAACTTTATCCTGTTACAGAGTCTTATATAGACAAGACTATAAAATGAAAAACTATTTAAAAAATCAAAGCTAGTTATTGTTTATTTCACAGAATAAAATCCGAAACCACAAAACCAAACCTTGCAAACCTTTGTACGTGGGTGAGGAATCATGCATGATTTACATTTTACAAGATCTACAAAAATTAGGAATATAAACTCCATATTGGGGAAGCTAAGATTTCCATAAATGGTAACTGATCTAGCCATTTTAGCAAGGAAGTAAAATCAGTAGTGACTAATACATTCGTAAAGCTAAATTGTTCTTGACTTTCAGCACACACCCCACAAACCTATGCTACTTATTGAGAGGCTGGAGGAGAGCAGTACCAACACGTGATCACCACAACAGCCATCCAGTGCTCCTAGAAACCTTCAGAACACGCACAGGTAGTGTTCCTCCCTCTCCTCAGTAACGGTTGTCCTAATAAGAAGGAAGTTTTGCCATGACCTTCATCACCTCTCCCAGACAAACCCACATGTGGCCAGCCAGAACACTAGCAGTGAACACCAACCACACTTTTCCATTCCGGAGGCCTGCCCACAGATTTTACCCGATTAAATCCTAGAATACTTCAATTACAAGAACTACATATTTGGTCCTCCGTGTTGTGTGAAATTGTGGGAACTGAAATTATATCATAAAGGATTTTTTCCCCGCGTGGCTCAAAGAGAACGTGCCTAAATACAGATTTGTCATCCAGCAACTACCCCTGTATTTGTCCCTAGGAATACCTGAAAGCTGGTAGAATTAGAGAGGTGCTTGCTGAATAGCTTGGAGGATCTGTGCATTAGCATGGTTTGAAATAAATCTGGTGCAGAAACTTCAAATCTTAGGAGCCTTCTCAAGTAGATCTATCTATATTTTACTTCCTTTATTGCATCCATTTCTACTGTTCCATTTAATAATTAGTCAATATTATCTCTTTTCTTAAGACCCACACTCACCAGTGTGGGTCATCAAATTGTGAGATCTGAAATCTCATACATTATACAATGGTTACAAAATAAAGTAACTGCTGTATATAACATTATGCACACACTGAAACTGGCTACTACAGTATTTGCACATGAGAAAATAGCTTTGGCTTAATTCTAATTGCATAATTTTATTAAAACAAGGCACATTTTATTTTATTACATTACATTTTACATTACATATTACATTACATTTCATTTTATTACATTACAGTGTTGCATGTTCATTCCGTTCTATGTTGGTCACAAGATCCTTCGTGTCACTAGTTCCAGGCAATGCATCACTATTAAAATACAAATTGTTCTCAAAGCTGTCATTTGTTGACAAGCGATTCTTTCTTCTCTTGTAGAAGAGATAGCCTGCAAGGCCACTTCCAACTAGGACGAAGATGACAACAATAACTACAACTCCTGTTTTACCATGGTTCAGAGTAAGAGCCTTCTCGTCCTTTGTCATTGCTGAAAAAAAGTACAGAGAAATCAAGAGGATGCTACATACTCTTTATCTGATTACTGGAAACAAATTATTTAGAAAGCATGATGTTTTAAGCAGAAGTGTTCCATTTGTCTCAAAATAGTGAGACAAAGGTAGCAACATAAAATTAATTTATTTTAAAATGCTAACATTGCATGCTATATCACAAATTATTATTTTTTTAAATTTGCGTTTGGACACTGAACGGAGTATACTGTATTCTACTAGGAAATAATATGCTCCTAGGAAACAGATATGGTACTCAGATATATCAGAAAATGTAAGAGACATAATACAGAATATGATTTATTCTGTTTATGGTCTTACGTGGGACTAGTTTTTGACTACTTGAAAGACAGTATTCTTACCCTTTGTAGGCATCTCAGCTGGTGGCATTTCTGCTGCTGGTGGTGTTTCAGTTGCTGACATTTCAAAACATTGAAAAAGAATTATGTTATTGTATTATTCTGTTATTTATTTCTATATTATTTATGATTTATTTCTATATTTGGAACATACTGAAAATCATATTCAGAGAAATATATGGTAATACTAAATACTGAAAACACTTGGGTTTAGTTCATACAAAGCTATATACACCTATCAAAAGGCATAGCACCATGGTCAATTGTATTCTGGTCTCATACGTAGGTGTTTGCATAAAATAGCAAAAAAGAAGAAACATCAACAAGCTCCATGGAGACAGATCCTGACATCAGTGTAAAACCACAAGAAAATCCACACGGCATCTTCAGGACAGAGATGATCAAACTGAATCCTCAATATAATTAAAAATTTTTGCAGTGTTTGTTATCTTACATAAACATAGCAAGTGTAATAAATTTGCTTTGCCAAGAGACTTTAATGGCCTACCTACACAGACAATTGAAATCACTCATGAACTCCGAAGTGTCTTAGCATGTGTCACATCCAAACTAAAATGTTTGTAGCTCATTTAGAATTTAATATCTGGACCACGAAATCTGGCTTGCTGGGAAAAAGCGGCCATCATTTAAGATGAAGATCCATCATATTTTGCCATGCGGACATAAAATCAATCTGTAACTAAATCTTGTATCAATGCATCATGTTTCGTTCTGAAAAAGGTGAGCCCAGGAAGTTAAATTGTTTTACCAGTCTCCCCACTTCCATTGCCTGATTTCATTAATAATCCAACAATCCTGACTTCCAAAGATTTTCCATAACTCTGCTGGAGTGTCTGTTAGCCCAGCTAGTTTTACATCTAGAGACAAATATTACTCAATATAATTACTCTTCAAAGTAAAACCACATGATTATTTGGATGTTTCCAAGAGTTTCTATCAAGAAAAGTATCTATTAATGCTGTTTACAATAAAAAGCAGCTTGTTACTTGTCTGCATTATACCAGCATCAAATCTATGGAAAACAGGGAAACTGGGAGCTTTCGATACTTGCACACTTTTGAAGTGCTTGCTGGAGGTATTGCATGTTTGCTACATTACACGTCATGTCCAGTTCTGGGCTCCCTGTACAAGAGGGATAGAGAGCTACTGGAGGGAGTCCAGTGAAGGGCCACTAAGATGATGAAGGGACTGGAACATCTTTTACATGAGGAAAGGCCGAGAGAGCTGGAACTGTTTAGCCTAGAAGAGAAGGTTCAGGGGGGATCTTATCAATGCACACAAATATCTGAAAGGAGGGTGTAAAGATGACACAGCCAGGCTCTTCTTGGTGGTGCCCAGTGACAAGACCAGAGGCAGTGGGCACCAACGGAAACACACTGATGTGCCCTCTGAACATCAGGAAACACTTTTTAACTGTGAGGGTGACTGAGCACTGGCACAGGTTGCCCAGGGAGGTTGTGGAGTCTCCATCCTTGGCTACTCAAAAGCCATCAGGACACGGTGCTGGGCAACTGGCCCTAGGTGGCCCTGCTTGAGCAGGAGGTTGGACCAGATGACCTCCAGAGGTCCCTTCCAACCTCAACCATTATGTGATTCTGCGATTCTGTGAAGATAATGCTACCTTATGTCCAAATGCGCAGTGTAAAAAACAGTCTCAGATATGTATCAAGGAATAGGAGGAAATAATTTACATTATGCAAATTTGGAAAATAATCTTCTGGCTGCATTGCTTCATTTGACTGGAAAATTTTTGGAATGTAATAACCTAGACACTTTTCCCTTTTTCCTCACTAAAAAATGTTAACTGACCAAGTTTGGTATAGCACTGATCATGCATATTATCACTGCTGGTTTTTGGTATGAGATGACTGCATGCTAAACCTTCCTACAAGCAGTTAAACAAGCAGTGTATTTGGTGATATGAATCTGCTGTTCCTGAAAAGTGCAAGTGAGATGCCATGAACATAATATACCTAGTCACTATTTGTAGCACAGTCAACTAGCACCTGTTGAACTGCTGAATAGCTCTTTAGAGTACCTCCTCACTTAAGAAATAAAGTTAGATTATTTATGGAATAGACCCACTACAGAATTTCAAATTTCTAAGGTAAAAACTACCTCAAAAATGGAACAGAAGATAGCATCTATTCTACAGGAAGATTTCAGTCACAAGTTTGCGTTTGCAGCCTCTTCACAAAACAGCAAATATAACAAGCCATAGCAAGTGTAACTGAGTAAAATCATGCTTCTAACACCCCATTTATTAGCCTATAGCTATTTAATAAATTTTTTCAATTCTGCAAATAGAGCATTATCACAGCTTTGCAAAACTGTGCCAAGCCAATCTGCATTTCTACGACAGTGTAGGATTCAATTGTGTCCTGTTCCTGAGGGAGCAACTATATCGTCCTTGCATTGACACTAGCATTGACACGTCAAGTGCCTTTTTGTTTGTCAATCACAATGTAAAAAGACAGATAAGTAGACTCTGAATGGACGGTTATATCTTAGAGTTCTGCAATATTTCCTGTAGAAGATACAGTCATCATTACAAGCATCTCAGTAAGTAAGAATAATTTTGCATGAGAGCAAATTTATAGAAAGGATAGTAAAATTTCTCTCATTTCTAGTCATGTAGAGAAAGTGGGCATATTTCAGCTACTACATGCATTTCACTCTTCTCAGTAAACATTAGTAAGAGATTTTAATATTGCAATACATGCAGGAAGAAATTATTACGATGACTTTTAGGAATACGTGCGCACTAGATGTCCTTACTGTCAAATTTGCACATTCAATTTTTTCAGGACACTTCCAGTTTAGCACATTCAGACTATGCTATTTGCTTTGCTTTTCATTCATTCATCTTCTCAAAACAGGAGAACACAGAGACAAGAGGTCCAAAACTGCTCCTTAATTCACAATTCATAAATACTCAATTCACAGATATACTACTTCATACTTGGAAAATGCATGCACATGAGACTTCCAGAGGGAAATAAGCAAAGGGTACCCCTCGGGCAGAGGGGATACCCTAAGGAATGTGTTTTCAAATAGATGAGACAACTTTGTGTGTGCAAATCACAGTACTAACTTCGTGATTACTCAACAATTATTGATACAGAACAGGCAAACTTGTTAAGTATATACCCTAGGTACAGTTAAGATAGGAACACAATCTTTTTAAAACAGTTCTGACAGGACTTGAGCACTGGTCAGCACTTCTGCTTTCTGACAAGAGTTATTCTTTCTTTTTGTTGGCATGGAAACATGCATCCCTTGGCATTTATAAAACCTCAAAACACCCAGCTAAAATGCACTGTGTGTAAAGGCCAGCTACTAACACTAGCACACAAGAAGCATACTCCATACATAAATTCATAAATGTAGCACTTACTTTTTGGCTTTTTACAAACATAGCCTTTGTAGGAAGAGCAATAGATATTATTCCAGTACCCAGAGTTTGCATACATTTCAACACAGTGCTCATTTTGTTGAGAGGAAGGTTCTCCTACATTCCAGTTGACAAAATTCACTGCAGTGTTGTCTAGCCACAGCCATTCTCCTAATTGGAAAAACATTGAATATGGAAAAACAAGATAGTATTCATTTCAATCTTGACACCTTCTCCACATTTATTGCTTTCCTGAGAAATCTCACTCTTGGAGACAGGCCACTAGACTACTTAGATTTTCGGTCTGACACATCATGTTGCCCTTAAGTTTTTACACAAATGATACAACATCAATTTTTTGAAAATGGCAGGCCAATCTGGCTTACGATGTTACAAAGGCAAGCAAGTTTAAAGAAGCATCTCACACAATTTATTGCAATTATTTATTCAGTTTATAGAAATTACTGATGTCAAAAGATAATTTATCTTCAACAGAATGCCTTTAATTTCAGTAATTTGTGGGGAGGTTTTGTATTACTCTTTTCAAAGCCTCCACTGAAGTCTTTCTAAGTCCAGTTTTCTTCCATTTGTTTTTCAGTTTCTGCTCCTTCCCACTGACTTTACACACACAATTTTCCTTTTTAAAGATCTGCTTCAAAAATCTTGTGATCACTGTTGTTCAACTATGCTGGGACTTTCTGTCTCTTCCTTCCTGTTCCTTTTTTTCTTTCTTTCTTTTAATAGTGTTACTTATTTAGAATAAATGTGCCCCTTGTGACTTTTAAGTTGTACTCAAACAAGCAAATTCTTTGACTCAGCATGAAAGCTATGTTTTGTTTTCTTATAAGATTCTTCATATTTTGCCTTTTTTTTTTTAAATACCTGCCACCCTTTGCATCAGGGCATGGCATCTAGATACAATCATTTTTCCAAAGATATGAAATCTAGGTGCACAGTTACACTGAAATCACTGTAATCACTATCTAGTAATACAATGACATGTACTTGCTGAAGCAGCTCTTGTGCTTATGATCACTGTAAGAAATGTATCGATCTGCACCTGCTCTAGAACCACTTTAAAAAAGTTTCATGTGTCAATTAACCACATGACTAAACCTCAGCTTTTCTTTATGTGTTATGTTTATAAATCATTAGTCTCATCAAATTCTTTCCTCCTCTACTTTCCCTTTTCCTGGTTAAGATTCAAGTAATGTAATTGAATATTTGTCTTCTCCCCAACTGGTTTGTCATTGAAGTGGTTGAGCAAGCAGTTGTAAAAAAACCCTCCAAAACTCAAGAAAACCCCACACCAAGTCACCTGAACCATTCTGCAGTCCTGCCTCTGACATTGTTATACTGCAGCTTTTAATCTGAACAGCACAAGACTGAAGTAACTTTTAGGTCCATCATAACGACAGAAATATCTATTTAATTGAATAGTAACTGTATTAATGAAAAAGCAACAATCAGCAAAGTTAAGATTTAATTAAAGCAGCCTGTTGCCTGTGGTCTCTTACCTTACCTTCCTTACAGTGAGGCAGAAAATAGAAAAACTGGTGATACATAATTCCAAAGACACAAACAATTCCAGCTTCAAAGTGAAGCTGTTCTGAGGGCCAGCTGTAACTAAAGAGGGTGACTGGTCATTCCAAGATGGTGATGCCAAAGACTAGAGGTGATGTTAGCCACATTATTCTCTAGCTCAAAAACTGGAGTATCTCAATGACAAGCATATCAACCCAGGGCCTCTCCACATTTGAAAAGAACCATTTTACTTTGGCTTAACTCCCAACACAGTCCTGTCTGTACTCTGCTATATGCACCTTAGTGCCTTACTTTATTGTGAATTACTTTTCTTGCTTTAATATGAACTTTCTGTGCCTGGTCTTTCTGTTATATATTACTGGTTATTGCTGGATTACAACTGACCAGCTTCCCCTATGATGCTAATATACTACCTTTTCTAATTTCACTTTTTAGGTATTACAGAAGTATAATGTGAAATTTTCAACACCCATGTCAAACAGCTTGTGACAATTATTCACCAAACAAAAAGACGTGAAAAGTAAAGAAATTACCATCCACATTTCTGTACATTCCTGTCCAAAAAGTTGATGTTTTTCCTTCAAGTGGTTCAATGGTGTATGCCAGAAAGTTGGCTTCAGCTGAGTCTTCAACTGATACCAAAGAAGCACCTGGAAGACACAGAGAAAAAAAAAAATCTCTGAGACATAAGTTTCACAGTGGAAAGCATTCTCATTGTCCTGTCTTATGTTTGCCACTGATTATCTGTGCCAAATTTCAAACAGAGTTTGAAGTTCAAAACAGAAACTAACTTAGGATAATATCTTATGAAGGACTCTGGCATTGTTGCTGATGTATTTCTTATCATTTCCATGACATTGCACTAGCATTTGTTTGTTTCCTCATCGACTGGGAAATAGCAACATAACTGAACAACAAGTCTAAGCAAAATACAACAGACCAATATGGTATTGAGCATAAATTTCTACTGCTGTGTTACTATTAAAAAAAAAAAACAAACCAGCACTAAACAAAATTGAAAGTTTTTAGCACAAAGGATGTATAACTTCAGTCTGTACCGCCACATAATCTTGCATATTAATGATTAAGTGTTTTCTGAGCCTTTGTATAGCTCATGTATAGCACAGACTTTGCTGACTTTCTGAAGCACAGTCCTTAGTGTAACTAACACTTTAACCAGGTCTTGTTTATTTTCCTACATTCTCTTTGTAGCCATCAGAAGAAAGATCATCTTGGTCATCTGTTGCCCAGTTAGTGTAGCACCACAGTGTTAGTCATCCACATAGGACACTAGGAATTCTGCCATAGTGATTCATTCTGTATGATGCTCTAGCAAAGTCAAGAAGTCACAGCATGGAGCAAGCATACACGACTTTGTATGGAGTAGCATTAAACATTGGAGAAAGTGTTCTCTCTGTTCTCTTTAGTGTGGGGCTGGAATCCAGTTAATAGGCATGGAGCAATAGCTGTGTTTGGCACTTGACTGTTTTGATTTGGCTGTTGAATTTTTGAAGGTATTTCTTCTCAGGTAAGGAAGGCACAGTTACAGAGAATGAAAATATAGAAGTCATTTGAATCACTGCTGAGCGACTGATAAATTCTACTATGGTTCAGAATTCTACTATGGGTAAAATTGGAAACATTGGAAAATGTCCAACTGCAAACAAAATCCAGAGTGCAAGCAGGGACAGCAGAATATAAGAGAACTTGGACTGTTCCTCTTTTTTCATTGTAGTCTTTATGTTTTTCTAATTGTTCCTCTTTTGCTGAATGGTATCAGAAGTTTGGTTACTGTTAGGCTGTGTGATAAAAAGCTTCGCTGCACATCCACAAGGGAGCACAAAGAGACAATGGCAGATGGGGGACCCCTTCCCTGGCTACTCCCAGGCCCATCACAGGAGCCATCAGCCCATCAAAAGCCAATCTCCACGAGCTCAGAGGAGCAAAGAGGCACAATAGCAAGGAAAGAATCCAAATTATGGACTCAGAAGATGGGACATCCTGCTCAGGCCCCTCCTAGGGCTGTCGCAGGACAGCCTCAGCCCTAGTGTCCAGGCGTAAAACCCATCAAGACAAGTCAATGTCAGAGTATCTTTCAGATTGAGGGGAGTTACCTAGGGGTATGGGACACATGATGGGATACAGAAGAGCATTTCAAGATGGCACAAGACTTATGAGATGTTCAGGGGAGGAACCAAAGGTAGGGAAAGGGATGGACCTAGATGATTTGGGAGAAACAAGCATGGGAAAATAGAAGGATAAGGGGATAAAAAGACTGGTCATGTATAAACAGTTTGCTGGTCAGTATGCTCGTCTGGTCATGCGCCGTGCCTGATTTGGGCAGACAGTCCTATCTTCTTATTAAACTCTATTTCTAATTGTTTTCATGGGTGAAAGACTCTTTACTCTGTATGCATGCGTGTGCATGGGGGTCTAAGTACCAGCAACTGGAGTGGGACCATGAGTCAGAGACCCTTGTGTCCATGGTGCCAGCAACTGGAGCGAGTGCAGGTACCCAAGTGAGTGTGTGTTATCACTAGGGAATATCAAGTCAGCATAGCCAGAAGTAGGTGAGCCAGATATGTGTGTGCATTGCCAAGGGTGAGACCACATGCTAAGCTGGCTATCAGAGGGACCATAAGGGCTACGGGTCTCTAAGGATGAGACCCACTGGTGTGCCTGCATCTCTACGGGTGAGATCAAGGAGGGAATGGCTACTGGGGGACCAGGGGAGTTCCAGCTAGCTCTGTATGTGTGTGTGCCCCTGTGTGTCTCTACAGGCAAGACCATGGGGGATTGACTACCGGAGGGACCAGTGCGTGTGTGTGGCGAGGACGGGGTCTGTACCAGCAACAGGAGCCAGACTGGTGGCCATGGGGGCCTATATTTCCAGGTCCCAGCAACTGAGGACATTGAGATCCATGGGCCAGCTACTGGCAAACTGTCTGAGTCCAGCTGCTGGAGGGATCCACATTGTATTTCTGTATATATTCCCGCTAACAGACCTTCATCCCAATCAGCTGGAGAGGGGAATACAATAAGGGTGCTGGTGCAGATTGTGTTCATGTGAGTGCTCTGTGTGTCTGTCTGTGCTGATCTGTGTCATCAGCCATGAATATATGTATAGATGTGCTGCATATGTGTGTGTGCGCCTATAGGGAACACATTCTCAGCCTTGTCACTGGTTGGACTTGGGAGCACAGAGCCATGGCAACCCTGCCTCTGCTGGGCTGCTGGATTCAGCCTGCCCTAACAATTACCGTGAAAGATTAAGGGTAGCATTGAAGGGAACGGGATGTCAGTGATGTGAAGTCTTAAGTATACTAGCATTCAAATTTCAAATTCCACATAATGCCAGTCTTTTACCACACACACTGAAACAAATGGTCAGTGCCTTTTTTCAGGAATCTTAGTTCAACAGAAAAAGGCCATTCTGATGTAACTGCAGATTCCAACAACAAAGATGTGAGACAGCTGCGGACAACCTGAGTCAGTGAGCGGAGGTACCTGCTATCACATGCAACATCATCATTCAATACCTCTCAAACTTCACCTTAAAACTCTTTCATTTATTTGCCTCACTCTTCTTATTGAAAATCAGTTTCAGAAATTCAGTCCTCCAAAGAAAAGAAATGTTATTTAATTTCTCGCACAAGCTTATTCAAAATTATAATCATTCCACTTAAAGCAGAGAACTACAGATAACAGATAACAGCTCTTATACATATATACATATATTGCAGCTTTCAAAGACTGAGCATCTGTCACGTCAACAAAAGAATTCAGAAGACTGTATGGAAATGGGTCACGCTGTAACAATTGTCAGAGTCTTAAAGACTGAGCTACAGTGAGAGTATTGTATTACGGAGACATTTCTATATTTAAAAGTATATTATCAAGTGTCTTCACCCAAATGTTATGCAAATGTTGACGTGGAGAATATAGTAAGATTTAAAGAACATATACCAAAACTTGAACCTTCCCTCAAAAATACTAGTTTCTCAAACTAGAGCTGGCAACATACTAGTTCATGAGAACCCTAGAATGGACCTGAGTACCAGCAGAAAGAGTGAGATTCTTCTTACCCAGCTCTAGGTGTCTATATTTGACATGGGTTTCACTGGTAGTTTTATTATCAGTGGAGACCTAATCAACCCAGGCAGTGGAGTTTAGGGTGCAATTCACCTGACCAAATGTTGATATATACTTCCAGTGAAGATAAGCCTGTATTCAGTTCCACTGACAGCATGAACAAGATCTCTGCATACTTTAATGGGAGGTTAGACACCTAAGTCACATTGCCACCGATGCTATAGACACCAATGCTATAGACATATGAAGTCTGGCATAATGAATCTTAAGTCACTTTTCCAGAGAAGGAAGTTGCAAGAATGAAACACAGCAACCCTAGTTTACTAATATATTTTCCAGCCTAGAGAGCTGCAAATTTCATTCCAGTGGCATAAAACTGCAATAATCACTTGGCAAATTAGATCAGGAATACAAATTTATAAAATGCCTTTAAAATAAGATTTAGTGACTGTTATGGATGAGGCTGACTACCTCCTAGCAGGGTCAAAGGACAAAGTTTCCACTTTTGTGATCTCTACTCCAGTCGACACAGCTTCTCTAATGCCTGGTCTCACACATGAAAGACAGTGTGTGCCACTCGTAGACAGCTATTTTCCATCTCCTCCCAAATTAAGGCAATAATTGGATGCAACTGTCTTGTCCAACACTTGGACCATCCTTGAAATCACAAAAATACGTAGCACATGTTCAGCTTTCCACAGAGAGGAAAAACAAGTCAGAAAGTTGTGCTCTTTGATTAAGGAGGATATTTACCTAGTCGAAGACATTCTAAAGATGCCTGGGCCCAGTTTCTTGTAGATGAAGATTCAATGTAGTAGCAATGACCTCGGAAAGGGATCCAAGACTTGTGTCCTTCTGATTCAGGACACCTTCCTGGAAGCTGAGGGGGCTCAGTGGGAGCTTGAACTGTTTAAAATTTTTTTTTAAAAAAAAAAAGCACAAAATTTAAAGAAATGGCTTCTTACACATTCTTTTATCAGGAACAGATTATTCTAACTGAATGTTGGAAAACTCACATCTGTAAAAAAAATGTAATCTTGGCAGCATGTACTGCTTACTACAACACAATAATGGGAAAAAGTTCTAAATCTATGAACAAAAGTACTGCAACTACTCTCAAGAAATCTAATTTAGCAAAGAATCCAAGCATACTTTTATCTTTTAACACATTCTTAAGTTCAGCTCAACTCTACTCACAAACATATTTTCACACCTGACTTTTGCTGAATTAGAGCCAGTATGAGCTTGGTCATACGGGTCGTGACCTAATATCATGGAATGTAGAAGGCATTATCACATGATAGTAACAGGAGTTTCAGGTCAAAAACATAAGAGAAAGCAGCCTGAAGAAGTATCCTTAAACATTTCTATACCACCTGTAGTTTCTTATTCAGTTACAAACGGAAAACCTGGAAAGCTGTTATATGTAAACATTCCTTGTGACTACTACCTAACATTCATTACTTTTGATTTTTGAGGTTTTTGGTCTTGCATGCTTACTCAATATCAGAATAAACAGCAGAGTAACATGAGTCTAAGCTTTGCAAAATGTATCTAACATTATTAATGTAAAGTGATGGCTATTCACAGTCACACTATCTCTTTCTTAATACATGTTGGCCCTCATTTTAACACAGCCCCATTCAACCCAAGTAAATTTTAATGATTTCATCTATTTAGCTCTTGAAATAAAAAAAAGCGTCTAAGTATATCTCAGCAGACCGCCTGGCACGAAGAACTCTAGAGATAATCATTGTAATTACAACAGTTAGATTCAAGTTCTTACCATCAGGTTTTTTGCAAACAGAGAAGTAACTTTCATTGCAAGATCCTGTCTTCCAGGCTCCAGTGATGTCTAGATAGACACAGCCTATTTTCTGCTTTGGCTCCCCTTCAGCCCATTTAGTATACTTCATTCTCCAGTTATCAATCCATTCATAACGCCCATTGGTCTAAGAACAAAACAAATCAACAGGAGTGATTAAACTCAACATTAACCATTCCTTCATCAGTCAAATGTCTGTCTATGCAGCACCTTGTGCTAGAAGGATTTTTTTTAGAAATCAATAACAAAAACAAATGGCTGAAACTTTTATGTTGTGACAAGCAGCTATTCATTGAGAAATACAGCAGTGCAACAAATGCTTTTCGGCAAAAGGAAATGCAGAGTAAGTGACATTGAATTAATTTTGAACTTAAAGCTGTTAATTTGGGACTAATAAAAAAAATTCATTTAAAATAATTTGTAGGAGTGAAAGTCTGATGACTAATTTTTATACTATCTGTTTCCCCCCAAATTTCAAGAAATGGAGATTATTTTAACTTAAAGTATATTTTAAAACTTAATCATTTCCCACCAAAGCTGGTGAACTCAGTGAATCATCCTGTTGATTAGGTTAGGGGAATCTTTTGGGTTTTAGGAAGTGCTGTGTTATGTTCACTCATTTGTATTTCTTTCATGTGCTCAACCAAATGGACTGAATGTGGGACAAGTGTCTGTGCCAAGAAGAAAGGGTGGTGTATTTTAACATCCAGAAAGTATCAAAATGTCAAAGAACTGGGAGAGAGGAGACAAATAAAATTAAATTAGGTAAGCCAATTAATTATTTGGCTAACTACCCTCAAAAATGTTGAAAGAGTCAGAGCAACAGCACCTTATTCTATTTCTGAAAATTAGGTATTGTTATTAGAATAAATGCTGTCCACTGTACATCTTAAGATATGTGGGTTTTATCTCAAATACACCATATATACAAAGAGATATTTCAAGATGTTAGCCTAAAATGTCTTGTCTGGAAGTGCACGGAGTGTAATATCACAGAAAAAGTGTGAAAACCATATGCAATATATACAATTTAATCAGAGTAATGGAAGAGCATGGATTCCTACCTGTAAATCTGACAGCACATAAAAGTATTTAGGACCAAGATATAAACTAATAAGTTAAAGTAAAGAGAGATAATAAGACTTTTCAGCTCCTGATTTGTCCATAAGAGAAGCAGCATCATGTTCAATTAGTCTGATGTTCTTACCACATTACTGTTAAGACCAATCCACATAGGCACCCCATACTTTAATAGCTTTAGCCACAGGAACGAATGACTGTAGGGGTCTAAGACACTGGAAAGGTCAAATTGATCACGTTTGCAGTTTTTTCGTGCATCCTCCCATTTCATTTTGGTATGGATGAACAAATAACTACTGTTACCATAACGGATAATGCTCGATGGGGATGAACTTGTAGAAGGCAGAAACTCAGCATCTGTAAAATAAAGGATGAAAAAAGACTCATATATTTGTTCAAAAGGGGATTATGATTTAACTGTGGCTGCAAATAGAATTAAACAAAAAGCCTTTTGTCTTGATTTCATATTCCCTGACTTTTGATCAGCATGGGTTAGGTGCATTATTCTTTAAGCAGCATCAGTAGTAAAAATCAATTACAAAGCTGTAGAAATGAAAAGAGCTGCTTAAAGCAACCTCTGACAAAGAGTAAAGAAGCATTCTGTATAATCATCCAGAATAGTATTACTGAAATTAATTAGGATTAGATTAGGTCACAATTTCTTTAATAAAATATTTTTTCATCAAAATAAATGCTTTGCAGAGACTGTTGTTTTCCAGGGATTTTTTTTGCCAGAGAAAAGGAAAAAAACTCCACAACAGACCAGTCCTTAAAAATCAATCAGATATTTAAATCCAGGTTTTCACTGCTTTTTAATTTCCTTTTTGGAGGTGAATTAGCTCAAGTTTGGTGCGGGTGAGTTACAGTCACACTCCAGACAGTTCATGCTACATGTACAAGCCAGTATTTTCCAGAACATGTTTTGAAAGCCAATGTGTTCAGAAAATGACAGAAAAAATGATGGAACAAATATCATGTCAAGGGTCATACTAAACACAAAGATGCAGATACAAATTCCAGCTCAGGAAGTAGCAACATAGCAGTTACTGTGAAGGGTCAGCTGAGAGTAATGACTCTAACTGGACCTCTGACGCATATGACCCTTGTGTTCCTGCCTGAAAAACAATTTGTGGATGTAACTTTATTGGAAGTGAAATGATGTTGAAATCCACATACCCAAGCAATTCCCTGAAAAACCATATGGTTTGATTGTGGTTTAATTAAAAAGAGAAGTACCTGCATTAATTTGGCATATATATCCTCTGTTGTTATCACAACTCTCATCAGCCCACTTCCCTGCTTCCTTAACAGGACTGTTTCTCATGACAACACAATCAGCCTCGAGGCAAAAAGATATAAAATCAGTTACTAATAGCTAGAAGAAGCGAATACAAAACTTTTGTCCCTCTTTTCATCTTCAGACACCAGTACTGTGTTTTAAGTTTTACTTTTGTATCCTTGTAACATTTAACAGCCTAAGTTTTATGATGTGGAGGTTCTGTTCCTCTCGCACTTCACAAATTTCTTAATGCTGCTCTCTCTTGTGCAGACCAGAGAAATTTTGGTGTTCCCACATCTCCAGGCATACAGCATGGAGAGAAGGAAAGCCACAGACAATTTAAAGAGAAGTGAAATCAACTATTGTAGAAAAGACAGGTTAACTTCGCCCCAGAATAAAAATCTGGACCCTCAATGGGCAATGCAACATTTCTGACATATTAATCTCTTCAAATGTATTGTTGCAAGCTGTAATACTACACACAGCAAAATCAGAACTGCTCCTGCCCAAAGGCAGCCATCAATCTGTCAATACCACCCTCACAGTGACATTTCAACTTCTCTGACATGGACACCATAGCTAGAACCTATGTTAGCACATATTAAACAAACAGTGATAAATGCAAAAGGCAGCATGTGTACAAATGGTTTTGTACAATGAAGCATCCATATTTATTTTCTTCTATTTACTTCTTTGGTTTTGCTGTCCAGGAGAAGATGCACAGAGAAATACTTCATTTGTGAGTGAAATGTATTAAGATTTAAATCTTTCAAACTGAACAGTTGCATAGTATTTTGTATTAACTATGGTAACCTATTGTTTGCTAAGGTCAAGTAAACTTAAAAATAAATCTGAAATTTGTAATCGGGACTTTATAAGTTTTCACAGAAGACTTCATAGAAATCCTACTACTTTTCATAAAAAGACAAAAATATATATTGTTCCTCCCAGAAGTAACACTTTAAAGTTGCTTTCTCTTTTGAACTCCAAAGTCTCCCAACTTTTCTCGCTCCATTAGAGATAAGAAGCTCAGAGGTGCTACTTTCAAAAACAGTAAAAGGGACATTATACATAACAATAAGATTTTTACATTAAATACAGCATTCAACAGAAATAGAGCTAGTACTATAATGTGCTGTAGTTCCATAGCACAGAACTATCTAAACGCGTAAGATCAGAGAGAGGAACTCTATGACCTATCAATCAGATCAGTTTGTATGACAGAGAAATAGGAGAACTGATTTTTTTTTTTTTTTGACTGACAGAATTTGCTTCTACGTAAGACATGTCTGTTCAAGAGGAATGTTTGTAAGTGCCCCCTGCAAGCTACATACCAACTGAGAAACCCTGCTAAGTTCAGGCACAACTGTGGACAGAGGACTAAAAGGATGTGCTCATTCAGTGTGCTTTTGGGGCAAATGCCATGAGGAATCCCACTATCAGAGCCTGTGAGAGAACGCAGTGTGAACACAGAAGCGGTGAGGCAGAGAACTGAAATCTGAAACCAGTCTTTGTATGAGCACTCCACAGATCCTGTCACCAGCTAATACAGCAACTGCCCAAGGGCTCAAAACCATTAATTGTTTGGATTTATATATGACATGCATAGAAGTATGAAAGTAATAAGTCACGCAGTAACATGTCTCAAATCACAACAAATGTGTAAATGCAATCTAAAATCAAATTTCAGTGAACAATTTGTGATTGTTATTTACCTGGCCATCGTATGAGTATAAATCTGTATGTCCTGATGGAAAGCCTTTGGCCCAGTTTGTAAAGTAAACTCCTGTTCCATCTGTCCAGAGGAACCTCAGTTCATGATTTATATCATTTAATCCAATCCATGTATCAGTAACAAAATCTTTCATATGGAAGGTGAGGAAAGCTAGAGTAAAAACAGGCAAAGAAAAAGAGAAATACTTTTAATGAAGGACAGTTAAAATGTCTGGCCTCACTGAGACTGGTGATAATAAATATTTTTTCTGAAATACAGAACACTTCATTGTTGACAACACAAGCAGGTAAGATGAAAAGGAGGTGACGTTTGAGTTTAATGAATGGGGAACCAGATATATAACTGTGGCTTTGGGCAAAATACTTCAGCTAAATATCTAACTTGGTACTGGGATGAATTCCAAAAGCATGACAGAAATGCTTTTCATAATGTCTCAAGACGTTTTTGAATCCTAGTCCCACAATTGACTTAGAAATATACAGCCGTGTAGATCCCACACATTTCTGATAATCCCACCAGAGTGGTTACCCCGCAATGGCATCATACAGACAGCACCACTGAGCACCTACAACTTGTGCAGCTGCACAAGTAGTGCTGTTACAGAACGGCGAGAGTGTTTCTTCTCTCCCTGGAACAGCTGGGCAATAGCCTGCACTGTCTTAGCAAGGAGCAGAATGCACAAGAGACATGCTTAAAATAAATCTAAACAGAACCCTTCATCACAAGCAAATCAATCACAGCTTTGCACACTCCAGGAAGGTACTTGTGTGTCTTAACTAGCATGACTAGCTCACAAATAGAGCAAGCTAGGTCAGCTGGCATGTATGAACCCACTAATCCACAATACGTCAAACACTGTGATAAAATGAACATACGGCTTTTTTCAACTGCTACAGTCATTGTTATAAGCTTACTTTTCTCTGCAAACAACAGACTAATTTCTGTCTGCTCTATCAACCATTCATTCACCTTCATTTAGTCTTTTAAAATGAATGCAATTTACGCTTCCAGAAATGAAACCTGTAGATTTTTCTGCCAAATGTTAGCATTGCCATTCTGCCAGAAACCGTAACAGGAACTCAAGCCTTTATGCCCACATTGCCAGCAATAACAATAGTTTTGTGGTAATAGCTTTATGGCTCATTTCTCTTTTACCTAGAATTCAAGCCCTGTGCATGAACCACCTGAAATCTGTACTACAGAAATTATGCTGGATAAGAATTTAGCTATGTCTGAAAAGTGAAAGTTTGATTCTTCACCCCTTCACACGTGGAAAACTTAAGTAGTACTAAGTTCGTGTCAGCAGTCTAAAATTAAACTATTTAATTGCTCAGACTACAACACAGACTTGTTTTACAATGGTTGATTTTTCAGCATGCTCTTTTGAGTTCACAGACAGTATGTGTTGTGCAACATCTGTTTCTCATCACAGTAGTATAAAACAGTATTTCTAAAAAGAGGGTGTTATTAATATCTATCAAAATCTTCCCCAATTTTTAATTTGAATGTGTGCCATGTTTATTCAAGCATGAGGTAATTTCCCTCTGCTTATCTCCCCCAGTCAGGGATGCAGCTCTTAGGTTCATTAAAATAAGCTCCTCTAGTGAAAAGAATGGTACATCTATCTGGTGAGTTGTGGGTAGATGTATGAGCAGTCAAACCTCTGCCCCAAGCTGCCCAGAGACAGCAAGTTCTGATCATAAGGGTGTTTGGCTTGAGTGAATAGGAAAGCCATGTGGCAAGTTAATGCCACCTAGTGAAACTATATCATTTGGAATGGAACTTGCTGGATCCAGCTGGCATCATGTGTAAGCAGAAAAAGCACTACTTTGGCTGCCAGGGCAATATACATGTGTATATATATCTAAGCCAGTATTAAAATTTGGTAGATTCAGGTGAAGGTTTCATTATAAATTTCCAAAATTTTATGTTTTGGAACAAAAATCAGATGTGTAGTCGTTATTCAAATCCTGTCCATATTCACACAAATACAACAGCCATCCTGTAAAGATTAAATGTCATCTCATCTAGTTGCTATGAAACTATACACAGTACCTTGCACTTGTTCATTAGGGATAGTGGCCAGGTTTCCTCCTAAATTCATGCAAGCTGTTCGCGCTGCATGCCAAGTGACACGTTCATCTTCTGTAGATCCAAATATTTTGTAACACTAAAACATGAACAAATTCTCTATATATTATCTTTACTCCAATATCCCTCACAGATTGAAAACCACTGCTTTAAGCAAAGCGGGATGGAGAAAAGGCAGTAAAATAATGTATTTATCTGAAAAAAACACATTCAGCTTAAAATGAGCTTTTTGCACTGGTCCTTGTTCTATATAAAATTGAAGGCCTCAAGAAAGTGTTTTGCTCAACCAGACATACTAGATTTGATCTGAAATCCCTAGAAAATAAGCAAAACCTGACTTTTTATAGACAGCTAACAGTGGTAAGTTATGCATGACATATTAATCTGCCTGTTTGTTTATTTGACTCTACAAAGCATACCACGTTTGTAAAGTTAAGGAAGACAAAATGTATTCAGTACCGAAAAAGCATTACGGTTTGGTTAAAAAACATCAAGATCAAAGCATCAGTACTTCATGAACTCTGTCTAAACTCTTTAGGAAATGCATATCAAAAAGTTTGAAGAGATGACTAGAAAATGACTTTCATCAACTGCAATTGAATATGCTCCTCTGCCATTTCATTAGAAGTATGAAAAAAGCACCTTTCCTGCAAAACAGTGGATGGACAAATAAAGAAAAGCATGCAGGTGTCAACTAGCTCTCTGCAAAAAATAATAATATTTTACTTTAATAAGAAACAATGTTATTAAACAATTCCCTTGTTTTCTATTTAGTGCTTTGCCAAACATCCAACATGCACTGTGTTTGTCATGGTACCTTATTATGAAAGGAAAGCCAAGTTGGATGACATCCTCTTGGAGGTGAAAATGTTGTTGGAGGAACAGTTGAATTAATGGAACTGTTGTGCCTTTCACATATGTAGGGATTTGGATAACCACAGTTTATATCATTCCAAAATCCTGAATGTAAGATAAATGGGGAATTGTATGACACCACATCCAGAGCTGGCTAAATGGAAATCCATTTCACTCATTCTTACACAAAGTGCTTTTAGTTGAAAGATAAGATCAAATCCTCAGAGTCTCTCAGTTTATTATCATTCTATATCAGCATCTAGGATAACTATGTCACTTTATACACAATGTAATACAGAATGTTAAAAGCAGTGTAGAAGCTGGTACTAGAAATATCAAATTTATAGTGGCACATTAGGCCAATTTTAATAAAAAATATAAACCAGTTGTATAGCAATCACAACCACAGACCTCTATCAGAGCTTTCCCACGCTACACTTAAGGTAAGGACAAGGGCACAAAACTATGGTTATGTGACCACTATACTGTGGTCTACTTCTATAACATTTTGTAAAAGAACAAAGAAAATGGGGGAAGGGGTGCCTCTCAGAAGAAAAAAACATTGTGACACAAACACACAAATAAAGAAATTCAGGAATAAACATACAAAACTCACCTAAATTCTTATACATAACTACACAATTTTCATCATTATTTGCAAAATTAGGTTCATGTGGTGCCCATGCCAAATAATTCACTGGAGTGCCATCGATCCAGCTTAAGAAAAACAATCCAACAGAACATTTCTTTAACATACAAATAGAATTGCTTCCATGTTACAAAAAGTAATTTTGCAATATGTTTAATATAGCCATTCATAGTTTAAGGTGTACAAGGGTTTTTGGCCAATTTGCCTCTTTGCTAATTGTACTAAACTCACTCTCTGTGCAAAGACGTAGGGTATGTGTTGAAGTTGTGTTTACTCTCCATTTAAGTAATATGCTGACACTTTTGCAACTGTTAGGACAATACTCAAAATAATCATTCAAGCCAACATGAAAGCCAGCCATCATTTCAGCATGAGAGAGCCCAGATGGTCACCATTTCCCCCAAGTCATATATTCCTCGTGCCTATTACAGAGAGAAGAGATTTTATTGGTAACACTGGCAAAATGCTTGATATTTCCTCCATGCAGAGGAAAAGGGCATGACACACAACCTACAAGGAAATTCCTGTGACAATGTGCCTTACCATACGGTAAAATACAAACATCGAAAAAGTCGTACATCCATGTAGATTAAACAATAAAGAACAAAATCATAACCAGGCAAGCAAACACTTATTAGGAGACATATTTCTATTGGAGAGGTGCCCAGGTTAGCCCTTCAGGCAAATACACAAGGTACTTCGCTTAAAAGTATATTCAACTTAGGGTCCCCACAAAAAAAAAGATGGAATGGCAGAGACACCTCATTTTCAGAAGGTGATCTGGCCCACCTAACATGTTAAGTATCCTCTGGAGGGTCCTCATTGTCACTGCGGACTATAAGGGGAACCAAGAACTACTCGGCATCTATCCAGGCACTTCAAGACCCAGACTGAACTGAATCCAGGCCTAAATTAGCATCATGTGTAAAAATCCATACGGTGCTGCATACAGACGTTCAGAAAAGCTTGCAGAAAACCTGCTTATCCTTACAGTGCACCTGAAGTTATATAATGGCAACAGCTATCTTTGTTTTTTCCTGCTGCAATCAATATAGAATAACAGTATAGAGTAAGAGTAGTATTAGTAGGGTGAGAATGCCTAACAACAGAAATGGGGTTAAAAAAAAAGTGGATTAAATACAATGGCACATTGAGATGTATTTACTACAGAATACATTTTTACAACCTTCATAATCAAAAAACACAAAGTATGAACATCCCACAGAATTCAGAGGAAAAACATTTTCATTTGCTTTGACAGGCCACAATTTCATTCAAGCACTTCATTACTTTTGCTCTGCTCAGTAGATTTCTTTATTTTAAAGCACAATGCAAGCTTGACGGTTCTAGTTGCCTACCTTGTCCGCTGGTCAACACTCAGTTGTAAACCAATGAAATAGGAATCCTCTTTGCCATTTTTCAAGATCTAGAATGTAAAGATTAAAATTGTATAAATGTCCTCTTTTTATCATAGAAATCTATTATGTTAAAAATGAGTAATATATGTCTGACTGACAGAGGATACGAATTACTATATTCTCTAGCTACAACACTTAAGTTAAAGCAGCTCACAGGTGACAGTCCACAGTCAAACTTCACCATTGGCCAAAAGGTGTGGTCACTATATCAACACTTCTCACAGTCTTACTTGAAAGTCACTGAAATGAGCACCTCTTGCACAGCCTCTGCAGTGGACATCATCTGACAAATTTCTTGCACGGGACAAGCCTTCCTACAATTTGGATATAAATTCATATAGGCCCTTGTGTTATCTTACTGCCACTCTTCAGCCAACTCAGGAAAAGTTGTATGTAGCTCAAATCTGATTTTTAAGCACATTCTTGATTAAAAGAAGTTCGCCTCAAGACAGTATAAACAGGCAACCAACCCCAGCCACATAGGAAATGTCATTTAAAAGCTCTTTCTCATGGCATAATCCATGCCTCAAGTTGTTCTTCCTGCATAATTATATGCTCTCCACAAGGAGAAGGAGGCAAAGGGGCAAACTTGAGGACTAAAACCAGGCTGCTAGGTGGACTACATCCCAGATACACTGACAAGACCAAAAGCCAACGTTCTGAGTCTTGCATGTAAGCCAACATCTGTTTTGATCCACTACTTAAGATATCTTGAGTTTATCTGTTGATAAATTTTACTTTCAGTTAATTCACCTGCCTTACAGAATTGTAGCTCACAAGTATAATACTGCTTGCTAAAATGAAGCCACAAATCAACTAAAAGTAAGCATTAAGATTTACCTTAGCACATTACCAGTTGCAGGTATATATAATGTGGTGTAACAGCCACATTGAATAGGAAAAGTGGATAATGATCTATTTAATGCTAACTGTGCTTATTTCTACACAAAATACCAAACCAAAATTGTCCTTGTCTCATCTATGAAACAATCTAAAAAAGACTTGAGTTTGTTCTTCATATTAATCTGGCTTAATGCTACTGCAATTTCACTATCATAAAACTTGTAGGGAGACCAGGGTGAAAAGGATTAGTGCCCACGCTCACTTGTTTTGGATGATTTATTCCATAGTATTAATGATTTTTCTTACATATCGCCAGAGGAACTTTCTTTCACTTTCACTCTCAATGACAGCAAGGTCTCCAAAGTTCCTCTTGCAGAACTCCCGACCTTTTTCCATAGGAACACTTTCCGTGCTGAAATAATATTGTTTGTCTTCATGTATAATCCACCCATCCTCAGTAGTCTTGTATTCTGTAAGATAAATGGTAAGCTAACTATATTGTTCCTGAAATACAAGACATTCTCATTAGTAAAATTTTAAAAATGCTTTTAGTCACACACACACACAAATAGTAATAGCAATAACACTTACTGGGTGTGGGAGGTTCTGTTGGTTCAGGCTTTACACTTGCCCCTGTACGAAAAAAAATTTATTATGATTGTACACTTTCTGCTGTAGGAAAAATATTTACTATGATTGATAGGTATGTTTTTCTATTGACACTATTGGTACATTATTCAATTTTAAATACATATTCTTGTTCCCTGAAGCTCTAAATATAAGCTATTCCTAATGTGCAAGCTATTATAACATACCTTGAAAGTTACCCGAATTAAGCAATTATTTTTGGTATTCACTGGATGCGGAAAACCTCATGTCCCAAAGCATTAACACTATTAAGGCAGTCCTGTATCTCCCTCTCCCTCCTTTCCCCAGGTCACTTATACATGAATTCTGGCTTAAACCAGAGGATGGGTTACCTTTTTCCGTGGTGCCCTAGCTACTACAGAGTGAGGTTCTTTCCATCTGCCTCTGGTTGAGAAGAACTTCTGTCTGGATCTTAAAAATTTCCCTAGAAAAAATCTCATTGGAAAAGATCCCAAGAAATCAACAGGTCCTTTCTGAAAAGAAGACTTCAGGCTAAAGAATTTCCCTGTTTGATTTTGCTCTGGCAACATGGAGATGGCATCCTGGATCGCATCATTAGCATCTCAGGAAAACAATTTATAATACAGGAGATCTCCATCTTCATAGGTTTACCAATTTATTTTGTGCTAAAATATATTTAATCTCACAGATACTGGCACTTAACAAAAAATTCTCTGCCTAAGAAATCTTTTTACTAATATAAAGCAGAGCTCGTACTTTATTGTCAATAATCTAAAGCAGCATTTTTATTTTGCTCCCCTCCTTCCCAGTATAAGAATGTGGTAAAATATTTAAATGAGCACTTTCTAAAATACTCAGACTTAGGTAGATGCACTGCTTGTGGAACTCAAGGTTTCCCTAAATTATAAATTTTGTCTTGATATCTGTAGAAAATAAAAAGCATCCAAATCTCTAGAGAATTTAGCAAGAAACCAACATATGAATATAAAACCCAGTCAAAGCAAAATAAAATATCTCAAAACCTGGCTCCATCTTGCAACTACAGATTCAATTAGCTGACAAAACTGTACCTGAGCCAAGTAAAGGAGGGAGTTTTCACACATAAAAATTCAAGGATGTGAACTGATTTGCAAACAATTTTCTAATAACTTGAAACTCAACTCAGAAAAAAATTCCAAAATAAGATTTGTTGGAAAAGGAATGAGCTTCTCTAAATGAAAAGTTAAAAGTGAATGTGAATATTCAAAGTATTCTTTCCTATTTTTCAAGTATCACATTTCTCCTTCCAAAATCATAGAGAAAGATCAGTGAGAAGTCCCAGCAGGGCACCAAAGGTTCTGTATCTTTAAATGCATTGAAGACATGGAAATCCTTATACCAGTTTGATATTTCACATTCCACAGGGAACCATTCTGATAAACAGGTTTTGAATTTTTTTATTTCTTAAACATAAGGAAAAAAATCAGCTGAGAATCTTTTCTTATTATACGAATACACAGGAGTCAGTGATACCTTTTCTTATCTGGCAAATCCATCCATACAGATAATCACAGTGCCTGTCATTCCAAAGCATGCTGGAATCACCACTGATCTCTGCACAAAGTTCAATTCCTTGATAATTATTGGGTTCTCCAAAGCCCCAGTTTTCATACTTCACCTGTGACAGAAAAGGTTTTGTGAAGATTCTGTTATATAGAAAGAACATAATGGAGAGAGGGAGATAGCATCAAACCACAGAGCTATTTGTTCATAGCCAGTTTAAAAACTTAGATAAGAGGAAACCAGAATGTCCCTGTGCAAATGCTGACATTTCAAGCTTTTTTTCAGATTGCAACTGGACTTCAGCTTAGATAACAGTTGTTTCCAATCACACTTGGAAGAATATTGACATTTTTTATAGGGTTTAAATTCTGCAAAAATTCATCTAATAACAATGATGGGGCATGCTACATGTTGATATTAATTAAATACCCTGTATGAGTAAAATAGTAGGACATTATTGAGACACAAGAAAAATGTTGGCATTTTCCTCAGAAAAATATTACTGCTACTCAAATCTTCCTGTATAAATTCCAATTTCAGTTTTCTGTACGGTAAACTTCTATCAACATATTTTGACCAACCTTGCATGAAAGACACTCACATCTCCAAAACCACTTTTGTTTCTGCAGTTTTATATCTTAGTCTAAAGTACAGTCAAGTCACACTGGCATAAAACAACTGTCTTCAGTTCCATGGAATGTAGGCCAATTCAGATAAAGAACTAATTAGCAAAGAAGAGAAATACTAAAGATGGACTATTTTACTCAAAAATCCTTGCATTTATAAGAGCATCCCTTTAGTCTACATGACTTTAATTTTCTTGTTGATTCAATGCACATTTTCTTATCAAAAATCAGTATGTTTTAGCCAAAAAATCAAGCCATGAAATTGCTATTCATAAGTTTTCCTAAAGAGAGCATGACACAGTAGAGGGTTATGATTAAGCATAAAATTACACAGAAACACATACACCACACACACTTGAGAAGCACCGGGAATGCAAAATAACAGCTGTGGAAAATTAAATCACTCACTGGAGATCCATCACTCCAAACAAAGCCATCATCAGGATTCAAGTAATATAAGCCCATCCAGAAACGCTGGTGGTAATAGCCATTGTTCCTAAGAAAAACCCCAAAAATAATAAATGTCCCATTTATAAGAAGTTTAAACATAAAACCAAAACTAATAAGGGCATTATGATATTTTTAATAATCTGTCATTCACAACAATTAATAAGCTTCTCTAAAAATAATCCTTCAAGCTGTTAGAAACAATAACAACCAGGGTGGAATTTAACTAAAATGCACCCTCTTCTAGCTGTTATCCCTATACATTAACTCAGACAGATTGAAATACTGACCAAGAAAATGGACAGATCCAATCCAACTCCTGAAAATAAGGTGGCTTAATACTTTTGTATAATGGTTCAATAGCTATTGTTGCTCCATTTATCAACTCTCCATTTTCTCTGTAAAGGCATTACAGCTTCCAAACACAAAGTTACTTGCTGCAGTTGAATCACATTTAAAAAACAGCACCTAAAATTAATTATTGTCTGCAAGTAGACACACTTTACTGATTTATCTGAATTTATTCAATTTGTGGTAATGCAGCATCTGAGACTTCTTCCTTACTATAAGTACACAGCTGGGATTCTAGTACGGTTGTAGCATTTTGCAAGGATGTCATGTTTCAGTCTTGCTTCCTAGTTAGACAGGGATGTAGAAGTTCATTGAGTGTCGTCTATTCAGGTCATATTGCAAGTGTTAGCTTTTTAAGAGTATTTGATCTCATTCAGAAATCTCACACCTGTTTTTTACAGTTCAGGAACAGACAACCTTATTTACATTCCCTGTGTAGGAAAAAATGAATCCAAAGTTGCATCTGCTTTCTGATTAGTTCACTAAATGGCAAACAACACATTCACCAGATTTATATCATGACTGTTACCCTATTTGTACACTTGTCTATGTGAAAACAACTGGCATCTGTTGTAATTTTATAGTATCACAAAATCCTCAGTAAATATTTTTACATGAGATGATAAATGTTGCCTCAACTAGATATCTTGCCAATCTCATTTTAGCATTAGCTTCTGGAGTGATTGCCACTAGTCATACAACTCCTGCTATTTCATCAGCCCTGTTTTTGTGCTATGTGTTTGATACAGGTGCAGATAATGAATCCAGACTGGCTTATACTGAAGTAAAAAGATACACCTAAAATGAAATATTTCAGAAAGATCAAAAGGCTAATTAAAGTGAATGGATGACCACACTACAGATACTCACGCAATAGAACGCCATATCACATACTGTTCTTCTTTACCGTTAATGGAGGCTAGATCTCCTCCTATAGCTCGACAAAACTCTTGAGATTCAAGCCATGTTTTCTTCTGCTCTCCTCTTGAAAAAGGCTAAAAAGAGCATTTTGCAATCAGACAAAATAGATCATACAGATCACAAGATCAAGACACATCAGCTACCCAAAAGCAATTCATTTACAATTAACTTATTCTGTGGGGATTACAGAAACTTTGAATATAAGGTTTATGAGTGTTCACCTCTGTGAAACACGGGCTTAGTATGAGTGTCTTTAAGCCAAGCTAGCAAACTGCTTTGCTGACAGGGGTATCTGCTGCAAGACAACAACTAGGACAAAGGCACTTTTAATCTTAAAAGAATGGGAAATTCAGTCTTAAAAGAATGGGAAATTACAATCAGAAGATCAGACCTGAAGATTGAACTTTAACGGAATAAACAAAACCATGAGCATTTCAATAGAAGGGAACAAGACCTCTACATATAATCTGTAAATAAGCTTATGAAACAGTAAGACATATGTATACCAATTTTTATTGCATGTATGTGCAGCAAATAGAAACTACCTTAATGCAGAAATAAGTGACATACATACTTACTTTGAAACAGAAGCTAATACGATTGTTTGAGTCCCAACCTTCTGGACACTGGGGAATAGGAGTTGTTGTAGGAACAGGTGGAAGTGTCACTCCCTCTGCCCACACTTTGCATAGGAACTTTGCCTTTTCTTCACATTTTATTACATCCCATAATCCACCTGCAATTCCAGTCCTCATGGCAACACAGCCCGGCTTTCTTCCTGGTTGTAAACAGGAATGCGCAAAAGCAACAGTTATGAGAATTTAGAAAACTTCATATTATATCCTGATGGATATTATGTCTTTGTACGGAGTCAAAAATGTTTCTAATGTTACAGTGGGTCCAGAGGAGGGCCACAAAAATCATCAGAGGGCTGGAACACCTCTCTTATGAGGAAACGCTGAGAGAGTTGGGGTTGTTCAGCCTGGAGAAGAGAAGGCTCCAGGGACACCTTATCACAACCTTTCAATATATAAAGGGAGCTTATAAGAAAGATGGAGATAGCCTTAAGACATAGCCTTACCACTCCACCTGACACATTCAAATCAGCATTTAGACACTGAAATTAAAGAAAATCAGAGGATCTCCTGAAAAGCAAATGCAACACACCAGAACTTTAAAGGCTGATGACCATCTCCTTTCTGATGTGACCACATCAGACATGAAATGACATCCCATCCCCATAATTTTATTAGAACAGAAAAAAATAGCAATGTTGTCATCAAAAAACTTAGTAAATAAAGAAATTGCAATTAATCTAGAAAAGATACTAACTAAAAAAAGTTTAAACACAAATCTTCCCTTGGCCCTCTTGTCCTTTCCTACAATCCCATTTTCTCTAAAACCAGAGATGTTTCATGCATGCTGTGATCTCACACACCTCAGAACATGCAGTGAGCAAGTGTACTATGAGATATGGCTGAATAGGCAGGACCTGCAAGCAAGGTGCAGTATGCCTGCAAAGATTGCTCTTACAGAGTAGTACAGACACAGACCTTCCCAGCACAGATGCAAATCAGAAACCTGACCCCAATTTAAAGTTTCTTCCCAAGTTCATGTTAAAAACACATTTCAGCAACTAAGCAGGAAGTTAGCAACAGCACTGCATGCTTGAGAAAACAGACAGGTATATTTAAGAGCAATTAGTCATTATACCATCAAGCGAGGACTAAGGAATGATGTAAAAAAAATCAAGTAGTGAGCAATATATTTTTGGGCACTGGACTCCTTAAACGGTACAGAGCCATACCTACCAGGCATTTCAGAATTCCAGTGTGTAAATAAGACAGATTCGCCATTAGCCCACTTGAATGTTCCCTTTTCTTCTACATCCGAAAGTCCAATCCAAAAGTACCTTTCTGTTCTCAGCCCAACCAAGCTAGTCAGATAGGCTTGTTCGTATCTGTTCAAAAGAACACAACCATTAAATTAATACTGTTAAATTTATGTTTAAAAGTTCTAAAAGCCTTGTTATTTTCTCAGAATTACTGGTGTACCTTCTTGAAAGTGTAGCTTGGATGGATTTACTTGAACAAAGCATGTAACAAAACATTACATAATAGATATTTTGTAAGCTTGAATATCAGAGTATTCTGCCTTCTCTCTAGATGTCCAGTAAAGAAAGTGACATAACCACAGACTGACATGATATTGGTGGGAAAGAAGAAACCTGACATGACTTGTGTGTTATACTACTGTATTTTTTGAGAGTTTCTAGTACCCTTGCATTTTAATGTCTTGTTGTTTCAGGCAAATCCAAAACTGGAAAAGGAATCTCAGCATTATTGAAGAAATATACAAAAGTAGGGGCTAGAGTAGCATGATACTAAATTATCAAGCTAAGTAACACTGCAAATCAGATCCAATAATCATGCAGGAAAAGCTACATTTGGGAAACAAACCTATGTAGAGGTAAAGCCTGTCATAGTTCATTATGGTGTTTAAGCAAACAGCTCTTAAGAAATCAAAGCAAATATAAGAAGTCTCCCCTTAACAAGGTATAGTCTGAAGATGATGTTAATGTTAAACCATTTTTATGACAGCTGCAGTGCTACCCACGTTTAGAGAACTACCATTCATGACAGCTAGAGCTTTCACACTAGAACATATCTATTTAGATTGTATAGAAAAAAATAAGAGAAACTGTAAAGCATCGAGTCAACTGCAAGCGAAATAAGCTTTGTTTCTTAACACTAACTTTAATTTTCCCAATATTCCATATTCAGTAATGTGCACCAGTTGTTCAGAAATTTAGCACACACTGAACCCTGGCGGAATTGTGATGGATTTTCAGGTACCAAGCACTTCTATCATCATTTGGTTTCTTATTTAAATCTTTTAAAAGTAGCTCAATTCTGAGAAGACCAGATAGGTGAAAATGATATCCTCTTGCTCATTTGAACTACCTTTTGAAAGGAATTTAGAGCCATATCTCTTCATTTAATAATCAAAACTGGATTCTGCATCCTCAAGCCACTACAATTAAGAAAATAGAAAACTCAATTCTACTTTTTTCCTTGACATAAACATCTATATCAATAGTGATTTATAGCCATCACCTATTTTTACTATAAACTGAATTCCTGGATTTGAATACACATGTAAACACTGTGAGGAGTTCTGTATCTACAGATAGGTGTTCCTCTCAAGCAAGATTTTTGTACAGATCAGAATCTTTATTTTGATATTCAGATGACACTAGAAGTTAAATCCTCATGTGATCCCCTCATGCAAGTAGACTTTTACATACCTGTCTTCAATAGTTGCTAAAAAGGCCCGATGCCTTCCACAGGTTTGATTTGCTTGAGAAAATGATACAAATGTATTTCCAATGAAGTAACAATAAAAACCATGTCTTTTCCAACCCTGTCAAAATAAAAATTAAGTGATCGCATATGTTGCAGCTTTTCTAAACTTCTTTTTTTTTAAAAAAAAAAAAAGAAAACAAAACAAAACTGATTTATGCCACTGCCAGCTAACCATTAGACAAAGGAACAACTGAACTTAAAAAGCCAGACTGGAAACAGGCAGGATCAGAGCTTTTAAAAATTTTGTTTCATAAAACAATTCTTCAAATATAATGAATTTTTAATCAGTGCATTCCACTTATGAAGGCATGAGAGGCTCTGCTGTGCAATTTTAGTGCTCGGTATAGGATTATAACTAGCACATAGGCATCATGCAATCATGAGAATGGTCTTGAGAAGAAAATTTCAGCTTGGCTTTTCAGAAAGGGAATGACACCTCAAACAAGTTTGTTTATTATTAACTAATATTAACACTCTCTTCTAAGGTTTTGTCATTCAAATGTCACTAAATCAGGAATATGCTTACAGAGGAAGAGTTTGCTGTGACCAGCCACAATTCACACAAATTTCCTTCTGATGGTTTTCAATTTTTCACCTATGAGAGACTTTTTTCTATGAGCATGCACTTAGTTTTCTAGGCAACGATAACACCAATAATTATTAGGAACCCTTTATCTTCTCCAACAGTTGATTATTTGTAAGGTTTCCAGGTACTCTTTTACAAATACTGGGAATAAATGTCAAAGGCTTCCTCTGCAGCTGTGTAAAGCTGACTTGGGGAAAAAAGGCAATTTCTTCGTGGAAGACAAAAACCCAGTAAGATTCCCTATGAGATAACTGTCCTGGTTTCGGCTGGGATAGAGTTAATTTTCT